ATTATGACATCAAAAATCCCGAGAGAATCTCCAGAGAACGGAAACTATGAAATTAGGCTTTTCATAGTCTCTAATGAGCAATATGAAAGAAACAGGCAATCTTCCAGGTAATATGTAGCAGTGGCATGTCCACTGCACGTTCTACACGGTATCACAAAAAAGGTTATTTCATTTAAATTCCAGTGGCGATAACTTCACATAACACAATTTGAAATACTGTGCATGGTCACATGCTAGATTAGTATCACTCTGGATATTCTCAATTCTTAAATAGTAAAATTGTATCAATCTTCATTAAACCCTGTTGGCTACTGAACAGAACTGCAATACTTGTAAGCCTGGAAGACGACATTGATTTAAAACTTGCAGGCACATTTAAGAAATACAAATGGCAGGCAGAGAACAGTGAATAGGAAACAGTAGATAGGACAGGTCGTTATGAAATACGAGCAACAGAAGAGAAGGTACTCTTTTGACTCCAACTAAGTGGGGTGAACAATCACTACGGATGAGCAAAACACTGCAAGATGCAAAAGTGTCAAGCTTTACTTCTAATAAAGCAAAAATTAGGCCTTGAACTATTCACTACTATAAAAGTGCTGCAGATTTAAAAGAATACTGTAGAAATTCTGAAGTATTCTGTTGCTTTATCATTTTACAAAAAATGTAAATATCTCTTTTCTCCCGTTTAATAATTTATATTTTTGTCTGACAATGACTCTGCATTTACATTTGTGGAAATGGTAAGAAACGATGGTAAGTTATCAGCTATAACTCTGTAATGCATAACACAGACTGTATTCAGCAATAAGACTTGTAGGCAGGAACATAAGTTAGAGTGGTGTTTTTTCAACCTTTTTCAGTGCATGAATTCCAGAGAAGTGACAACCCTTACAAACACTGACTGCAATATCACTGCAAATCCACTGACCACAAGCTGGGTCAGAAGATCGCAATAACCAAATCACTACATAAATATCTTATTTTAGTCTCTTAGAGAGCAGAAGGCTTTAACATTTATGCTGTATTAAAAATGACTAAACAAGTCAAGAGGATTTTTGCAATCAATATCAAAAGGTGGTCTGAAACAAAAAAAAGGCAAAAAAGACAAATCTTGCAATCAACATTTAATATCATTTACCTCAGTGTGAATCCAGTGAGCAGGAGGATGAACAGCACGCTTTACTGCCAGCTCTAATATTCCATCTCGTTCTAACAGACGAGGGCTCGAACATATTGAGAATCCTCCAACTACAGAAACTCCAGGAATAAAGAAATCAACCCTGAATGTTGATCAGAAAGAAAAGTTAAAAAACACAGAAAATAATAAAATAATAATAAATAATGTTGCAAACAAAGTGGCTGGCTTTATTTCAATTATCCTTCCTTTACAAATACATCTTCATTTTGGTCACGGACCTCTTCCAAAAAGCCAAGGACTTCAGCTTGAGTAACACCATCTCATTAGAATTATCTTCATCTAGAAAACGTCATCAAGTGGAGATACAAAAACACCTACATTAAACTAGCAGATTTATGAACTGTTCTGCTTTCAGCAGTAGATGTAATGTCTTAAGAGAGACCAGAATTGTAAGTGTTAAAATTCATTATTTGCACATTAGAAAAACAAAGCAAAACCACAATATAGTCAATGGAATGGTTTAAATTCCACTCTTTTCAGTGCTTTTATTGCTCCCTTTAATTTTCAAACATAAAGTGGCTGAGAAACTAATTTTGGAGAAATTGCTGCTGATTGCACAGTTTCTTTCCTTGAGAAGATGAAATATATGAAGTTAAAACAGCGTGTAAAAATTTTTCTTACGAGAAAAGTCAGTCACTACAGCAAGAATTGCTTCACATATTGGACTGCATTGCCCTCTGGTGGCAGATGTGCTTTTCTAGTCGGTAGAAAATTGGACTGCAGTAAATTACTACTTTTTTTAAAGTGAAGCTAAACCAGGCATGACTTCCGACAGATTAGAAGGTAACATAATAGCTAACCTTTTGCAACACAGCGATTAGAGAACACGGAAGAGAAGCCTTACTACATGTAGGCTATAATGCATTTTCATAAAAGTAAAGTCTTGATATTTCAAACAGTATCAGAAGAAGTTAGGAACTGAGTTATTATCATTTAACATTTAAACCTCTACACTACCAACATCTTGAAATATTTCAATTTTCTGCAGGACATAGCAAAACCCCTGTATTTCAAAAAAACCTCTTAACATCTAAATCCAGTTGTGCTGCTCCTCTTAGTGACTGATACCGCACTGGTAAATAACAGCAAGTACTGTACAAGGATTATGCAGTTCAAGCCTGAGTTAGGGTGGCTTCAGTATTACCTAATAAGAATGCAAGGAGAAATACACGCTGCCTTTCACTGCACAGATATTGCCTTTTAATGGAAGGGCCGTATTCTTCACGGAAACTACAAAATGTTAAGGGAGAAGAAAAGCACTTTGAATAGCTTACTATTTTCCAAAGGAAAAAAAAAAAAATCTTACCCACTGGCTCCCCACAAAGCTTCACCCTTGAAGGAAAAATATCCTCTCTCTCAAAGTATATACAAAGTTATGACACACAAAATTATGAAAATACTACACTGATACAATTTTTTACTCTACGCTAATAAACATAATGGCTCATAAAGATATCTGACTGCAAATAAAAGGTCAACAATGAAAAGAGGTTGAGAAGGCTGGCTGATCTGAAAAAAATCAGTCATTTGGCTTATTCCATTGTCCTCAGCTTCTGCAACCCCATTGACTCCTGGGGCTCATCTCTGGCAGTAAGGATCTAAGAGATTAGAAAGGATGATTCCTATGTTGCAGCATTTACTAGATCAAAGAGCAGCTCAATAAGCTGCCAAAGCTCTTTACCTCCCTCTGCTGGAAAATACAGTAATCTTAGTATTTTGACGAACGTAAAAAATTAACAAATGACATTTATGCTGTAAAGTAGCAATCTAGATTCAAGATAAAATGTTCTCCTTGAACTCTAAGGGAGAAATTATTTGTGTCCGGGAAATACACATACACAAACATCGCTGTAAAACCTCAATCTAATTTACTTTTTACCTTCTAAATTACTAACGGAGGCACGTGTTTCTTTCTGCATTGGTGTTTCTTTCCCAATTACACAGTTTTAAGAGATTTCAGTGCATAGTATATTATAACATAGCGGACTAGCTTGTATTTCTGATGGCTTATCTCATTTTAGCTACGTCAGCACGAAATAAGAGGACTCCTACAGAAAAGCTATGCGTAACATAAGTGAAAAGAATAATTCTAGGGGCAAAAAATCCTATAAGCTGACAAAAAAGAGAGAAAGAAAAGATGTGAAACAGAAGACCTCACAGTGGTTTTTCATTTCTCTCCTTTTAAAGGTCACCTAAGCTAAATATTTAAGGAAAGAAAACCATTAGTAGTTGCTGGAGAAAGAGTTCAGAAACATGAAAACCATAAAGCTACTTCTTCGAAATATTTATAACATGATAGACCTCAGGTTTCAGTAACTTCAAAACAGACGACAGCAGCAAGTCTCTCCATTGTTACTTTTAAGTCAGATAAAGGCCAAAACCTACTAGCATGCTTGCAAAACTAAGTTCACTTTTGCTTATGAAAAACTAGATAATTAAAACACTTTAAAATACAAAACTTTGGCTGCAACATCTTACTATAGCAAATTCTAACAAGTTAGCCTTTTCTACTGAGGAAATTGTGGCCTGATTTTTCTTACTGCTCATCAAAAAATGCGACCACAGTTTATAGCTACAAGTATAGAGAAGTTGTTGTTTGCCTTACAATAGCATTAGAATACTTTGAAGGAAGAAGAAAATGAAAAAGTAATTATAATTAAAGCTTTCAGTTTTCAGCATGGTAATTGCTAAAGCATTTTTGAAGGGTAAATGCATTTTCCAAGTACTGGCAAGCAAGAATTTAATATGAGTCACTGCACATGTGCAAAAACTGCATCAAATTACTTCACAAACACAAATTATTGCAATCAACATCTTGTCTTCTGGTTCTAAATTTAAAAGCCAGCATATTAACGCTACATGAGTAACATATGCTGTTAATACCCCAGCAGCTATACTTTGATTCTAGCAAAACCACCCTCAGCTGGCCAAATCAATAAAAAGTTTAAGAACATTCAAATGACCACTGCCAAAAACAACTGGTCATAGTTCTAAAATAATCTTGAAGAGAAGAAAAGTGATGGAGGTGGAGTATTACTAGTTAGGAAGAAAGATGAACAAGAAAAGCTACTATGACCCTGGAAAAAAAGCTGTAAGAGTTGTTTAAACAGACAGCTAACTATTTCAAAGGCCTAATAACTCAAGTTAGTTTACTTTCAAGTGTGCATATCTGTACTTACATATTAAGTTGACTTATTAGGCTTAATTTTCACATAGCGAACTTTTAGTGAATAAACACAGGGTATCAGGCAATTCTGATTTAATCACAGAATTATAACATCAAAATAAATAACCTGCAAATTAGCAAAATTCAGTCTCTGCTCCACTATAAAGATGACCAGCAAATAAAGACTGTAAAAATGGCTTGCAGAATAAAGTGCTCTGGCAGAAATATTGTAACGCACATAAATCAAGAACAAAATATTGAAACAATCAAACATTTAAAGAATATCAATTTTTGCCCTCAAAAAAACAATATTAGCATATTTAATAACAGATATTTTGAAAGCATGCCAAATATAAACTGCTTCACAGAGCATCTAATAATAAAACATTATATAACATTAATTCATAAATTTTTGAAAATTATCAGAGGCCCTTTTAACGTTTTATTACACTCGGCCTCCGACAGGATTTCCCCTTCAAATATCAAGGGATCTTACCATTGTCCTGCTTTGAAAGTAAAATCTTTATTTGTGACAGCCAAACGAAGTCTTTTGACTGTCTCCGATTCATTGGTGATTCCACATACTTTTGCTTGTGAAATCATCTAACAAAAGGAAAATAATGGTGTTATATAGACATCATTTTCCACAGAAGTACTCAAGAATCTCTGTATGAGGTATCTATCACTTTACATGCTACCTGTAGTGTTTCATTACCTAAAGCATCAACATTTTTTCACTGCGGTAGAGAAGTAAGAATAGCTTCACTTACATAGTCATTGAACGGAGATAGGATTTCCTGTTTACAGTCCGCCATGCCATGTCTGTCACTTTTGTCAGGGTTAATCTAAACTTGTATATAAACTTATTACTTTACTTCAGTTGAAGAGAACATAACGATAAAGAGAAGCGATTGCTAGTTACCACTTTTCAGACTGATATTTACTCAAGGCAAACATTCCTATATCATTCAAGCAACAAAGTAAAAAGATCTCTGATGTAAAGACTAACAAAGAAAACTCCTAAAAGGAGACCAGCTGCTACTGAAGTCACTGGGAGAATTCTGGATCTGTGTCTATTCTTATTTAAGTAACTAAATGCATTATCAATCTGAAAGAAGATCAACAAGGCTTACATTAGTGCATTTACACACATACCCATCCATACACATAGACAGACATTTGACCACATATATGAATTATGAACACAGGAAAACTATGACACTGGCATTCGTTTCTAGTTAACAGCAGCATTTTTGTTTTGACAAGAAGATGGAACTGGATATAAGTGCCATTGTTATTTTATCTGATACCATTTTTAAAGGTTAAAGAAAAACAAATTATGAAAGAAAATGTTTTTCTAAACAAAAAGCGATCTTGCAACAGGATGGACCACTGGGGAATTAATAAATTCCTTGATGCCAAGCAGCAGAACATGGATTATCAACCCTTCCCGCCTCTCTTCTTAAGGGACTTTTGAGTTATGATTACTACCTGTTTTCCTCTACAAAGAAAGTAACGCCCTAAACAGTTTTCTAAATGGGTCAATTTACATACTCTGTTAAAAAATGCTTATACCATTTGCCACATTAGGAAATACTAGAACACCACAACTCTTCATTTCTCATCCGTGTAAGATCAAATGAAATGAAAGAGTTTCATTATGAAATGAAACTTTAACCAACTATGCTCTAATTTAAAACACATGATGGGAAATTAATTTCTTCATAAAGCAACATTTGAACATGCCTACTGCTCCATAAAACAGTAGGACGTTTGCCAATTTAAAACAAAGTAGCATACTTTTCCACTTTAGCAGATAGAATTAAATGGGAAATGCAGTCATTCTAAGTTAACAAGACAAGCATCAGATACATGACTTAAATAGTTGGTTTGATGGAGAAACCTTAAGTACATGACTTAAATAGTTGGTTTGATGGAGAAACCTTAAGTGCAAGAAATGGACATTAAGTTTTGACCTTCTTCCTTCTCTTCTCCGCTTGTCAGTATACTCCCTAATTTGCTCTTCAGCCAATACACCTGATGGAGCACCGGAGATCTGATTCTTCATCAGAATAAAGTTATTACAAAAAAAATTTTGAGTTAGGGCAAAAACCTTCAGTCAATGTTTTTATACAACAACATCTAACTGGCCCCCAGGCAAGAAAGCGGTGAGGAGGAGGAAAACATAGCATTCCGGACTCTGCATTTGTATTTCAAGAAAGCATCAGGCACCTCCGTCCAAAATGCCTACGCTTTTATCTTTCCTTGTATGTTTTAAAAGGACCTTTTTCCATTTTTTTTAATCTGGAATTTGGAGCACAATAACGGAAATCCATGAAAATCTGAGAAGCTTGTATATAGAAGACGGATAGTAGTACAATTTCGTTACCTGTCATACTCCATAGTTGACCCGAATTCCATAAAATTTCTTTTAGAACAAACAATCACATATGTCACTGACAATTTCTATACCTCATTAAATTTCACCATTGACCTCAAAACACATCTATTTTACAACAGTATCCAATATGAAAAATGAGAGGGAAAAAAGGTAACAAGAAGTCCTATAGAAGAGAAAATAAAGCCTAACAATCAAATAAAATGATCCACTTTCTTCACACCATAAAAAAAATAGCTATATTCTACAGAAAATGGCACCAACCTCCTGGCGAAAATTATTTGCTGTTCTCTCCAGATGATCTATTTTAATGTTCGATTTTGTTGTGCTGCAACAAAAAGCAAAGATAATTGTCATTTTGACAACTGTGCCAGTGCCCCTTAACGATACGAATTTCTACTAACATAACAGTTTGCCAGCATAATCCAGCCTACGCTCCAGATGACAAAAGTCTAAACAAGAATTAAACAAAAAAATATAATCGGGAATTAGTTAAACTAAGTATTTACAGACACTGTAATAACTTTTCAGCTTCATTTTGACAGTGCTATCATGACATTCTCTTTCCAAGAAATTAGTAGTGTTTGTAGATGGATAACCTACCCATTCATTGTGCAGTAACAAAAAGCAGAGTGCCTCAACACCACCAATGCAGAATGAGCGGGAAAAATTCTACTAGTATCTCTCAGTAATTGAGGAATAGTAAAACCCACAGAAATAGCAGCACAGGCCATGATGAATAGGTCTTCTTCAGAATTACCAGCTCCTGAAAAATCCATATAAATATTTATTAAAGAAAATACCCAGGGCAAAATTCTGCTCCTGGGACTGGCCTAATTCAGGGTTGGCTATTTTCCTGCTCCAAACAGGAACTTTGACTAGATGCCCCCCACAAGTCCCTTCCAGCCAACATATCTATAATTCTAAATGCTCAAACAATATTTACATTTGAAAGACAATCCGACAAGCAGTGAATGTGCATTCCTTTTCCATTGGTAAAGGGAGGATTCTGGCTGGAAAATTTTATAAACATTAAATAAAACTGTTTGTTTATAGTTTGATTTAAGAGCACATCTACCCCTCATATTTTCTGAAAGGCAGAGAAGATGATGACAGAAATACGCACAGCAAATGTTAGATCCTAGATAATAATTATGGTCTGTAAACAGTTAAGCAAGAAGCAGATCCTTACATATACTAGAGTGGAAACACAGCGTGAAGTTTCAAAATCGCACACTAAAATGGACCTATGACAGAGGAAGATAAGCTGACCATATACAACATTCCAAACAAGTTAGAAATATCTTTTACTTGTAAAGCGCAAGACCAGGTTCATAGTGAACCAAAAGATCCCTCTCATTGCTTATAAACCCGCCTTTGTTCTTCTAAGACGGATTAGCATAATTCTCTACCATATTATCCTCACCTATCAAATTACTATGTTATTTCTACGACGCAGTCTCTTGTTTCTTTAAGGCATTCTTAATCTTTCACTTCCATTTAAATATCTTTTTGCATCATTCTTTTAAAGCATATCATTTATTTTCAAAATGTTTTTGTTTTTTATTTTGAATCTTTTGAAATGGCAGTGATCCAGCTTGTTTAACTAATCAGGCCTGTACTCTCCAGGCTTTCACTAACAGCTGCATTGGCTGGTCACTGAGCAGAGCTTTCATGAATTAGGCTGCTCAGAAACGGAACATATTTATCGTAACTACTTAAAATTTCCACTTTCAAGCATAAGTAATACTTCCTGCAGCTTTTAACTATCCATAATATCTTTTTAGCATTTAATTCCATAGCAGCCTGCAACTTTTTAATGTGGAATTTATACACACACATGTATACACACACACACACACATCTACGTATATAAAACTTCTGCTACCTGTGGGCAAAATTACTTGAAAAGTTTTTGCTGCAGTATAGGCAGAATATTCAGCAAAATACTTCAACACTTTCTACATGCAAATGTTTAGAAGCTGTTATTAGTAACACAAGCATTAAAATTCAAAAAATATTTTAGCAAGACAAAGCGTACATCTAATGAAGAAGTCACACCCCACCACATCAGCATGTTCAGTCTGCAAACCCTTTGGGTTGCACAAATTCATGACATCTGATTATAATTTGGAGTCTTTTAGATATTATATTTTGTTTATATCCATCTACCTCTAATTTCTTAGTCTTCTAGGTGATTTTTGATCCACGTTTTCATGATTTTTACCATTTTAATTAAAAGTTAAAATGAAGGAATTTTGAAAGTGGACATTCTTAACTGCAATAAGCTGCTTATTCCAAGAGCTGTAACTTTAATTAAAACACCACAACCTCAAAATGAGTGGATGAAATCAACAGAATTAGTGATGCTAGGCTTGGAAAGCCAAGGACTGATAATATAGACTTAGCGATCCTTTTCCAATGTTCTCATTTTTTAAATTATCACATCCTTCATAACCCATTCTGTAATTAATTGCTACTAACCACAGCGACATCTGCTGGTAAAATAAGTAGTAGCCTGACTTTTAAAATGCATTAAAAACTCTGGACTGTTCGCTTTACATACTTGGTTTAACTTACTCATATGGCTGCAAAGGTTGACAGCCATTTAAAGTTATCCTCGTTTTCACTGCTACTGCTTTACAAAACAAATATTTCCAGATCTACACAGGAAAATATTAAAAAAAAAAGTTAAATATCAATATACTAATATGCAACACTGGAAGCAAATGTTGGCTTCAATTTTATCATAGCAGCTACAATTTTGAAGTCAAGACTGAAAGATCCTGTTGATACAGAGTATTTTAAGACTGAGACTCTCACGTCAATTAAAAATAACTCTTGAACAGTAGTCTCTCCCAACAAGGACGCTTTTGATTTATAGTGTCATCACTCACGATGCACTCCTGAAAAATCACAGTAAAATTAATTTTCACTCTGTAATAAATCCCCAAATCTCTTTTAATGAGTCCTGATTCTCCCCTGTCATACACTCATTCAAGAGTTATGCCTCCACAAAACGTGGGGACTCTCCACATCCATCACCTCAGAAACTTCCTTGGCTCATCCAGCTCCTAAGCTTCCAGTCTGGTGGGATGTTCTCCCTTTATTTTTTGTTCTCCTCTCCCAAGTCCTCCAGAAATAGCCACTGCAATACTCCCTTTCTTCCTTTGCTCTGCAGAGAGCATGAGTGCTTCCATTGTGTGTGACCCCTTCCTCTCCTCACCTAAAACTAAAATCAAAGTAATTCATTTTCTCCTTACCCTCCGATCCACTAGCCCCGTGTAAAAACCAATCAGTGCATCTCTTCTTCTTCACAATGCCACACTGAATCAGAAGAGGGAGAGCCAATATCAGTTACCTGTACAACAAAGAAGAGCAAACTACTACAAAAGGTAACGCAAGAGTGTTGAAAGGAAAGCAAGGAATCTAAAGCAAGGGGGATAAGGAACCCTGTACAAAAAGCAACCATGTAGGGGTAAAATACCCTTAATAAACGGGCAGTCTTTCCTGCAGCAGTCATCACTGCCAACAGCCTTTCCCCTTGGCCTAGCATTAACAAGCACGCAGCGGGTGGCACAGGAGAAGCCTGCGCCCGGCTGAAGCGGGACGGCAGGAGGCTGGACGGTGCCATCCATGCCGCCCTCCCGCCTCAGCTGGGGAAAGGACAAGGGCGCAGCAGCACCTGGCTGGGCCCCGTCAGCCATTAGGGACCCCTGCTCCCTGCCCCTGCGTCGGGCGGGGAGGCGGACATGACCGCCAACCGGGC